TCATTTCTTGTAACTATAACTTAGCCACAGTCCAAGTACAGTTGACATTGACTATACATAGAAAGGCTATTTGAGTTCACTAAAGGTAATCAGAGACATTTTTGAAGAAAGAAAAAGATTGACTGTGTTACTTCCTACTACTCAAAAACCACCAGATTCCAGTCAGGTTGCCAGAACCTTGGACCAGAAGTAGTACGATAACATAAGTATCCATAAAACATATTTCATCATCTCATCCAAGTCATTTATACTGACAGAGATTAAAGAGTTCAGACTGGCTCGTGATGTCATCAGTAAACGCTAAAGAAAAAGAGAAAAACAGTGTGTTACTTACGTAGTCAGCTACTTCCGTGCAACTGATATAAGATGCGGTAAGCTGAACACAGCTTCAACCGTCTGTTTGTTGAAAAATAGTAACGGACCGCATTTTCTTGTTAGTAACTGTAACGGCATTGTAACGATAGGAATAGTAATTAGTTAGATTACTTGTTACTGAAAAAAGTAACGCCGTTATTCCCATCACTGTATATCAGTCATGTGTTGTGTTGGCGCAGTCCAGGGTCACAGGAAACACTTTCCACACTCCAACTGTAACCCCTCAGTGCACCAACCTGTAGGGATGGGAATCGAGAACCGGTTTCCAGCAGTCCGTTGTTGATTCTTGCACTCTCACTACAATCAGCTGATTCATGGGTCAGAGCATTACTTTTATTTTTATAGGAGAAATGATGAGAATGCAGTGGTAAAGTGGAGACAGCTCCAGGACAGAAACAGCTGCATCATACTGTTAACACAACTTTGGCTCTTAGCAAGCACCTGCACAGACAGCATGCTAACAACTTAAAGCACTTGCCTCATTCACACAAGAACTTTTTCTAAGTAAAGAATACATTTAAAAATATCCCACTCACTGATTGTTTTCCCCAACCTTGTGTTCATCAGGATACACTGGCTGCCTGTCTGTCAGAGGATAGACTTTAAAGTTCTGATGCTGGTCTATAAAGCTCTGAATGGTTTAGGACCAAAATACATCAGTGACCTCCTGACCCAGTATGAACCTTCCAGATCCCTCAGGTCATCTGG